TAAGATTTCTCACTAAAATAAGTGCTGGTTGGTGGATCAGAAAGGAAGGAAGGGCAAAAAGGTACTCTTGTTTGTTTTACTTCTCCACCAGTTTCCCTCCTTTTCCACAGTACGAGAGAGCTGAGACTTCTTCATGTTCTTGTGCCTTCCTGGAGTCCCCTCCATGTCCACTGTCTACCTGGTTTGCACTGGAGAGAGCGCGGCTGTTGTTTGTTGACAGTGTTCATGTCATTAAACTTCATTAGCTATGACTAAGTCTTTTGAGCCAAGATTAAAAACCTAGAATATTAATAAACATCTTTTGATATTATCAGAACATCAAGACAAGAAAAAGACTTCAGACAGCTCAGAATGAGTTTTATGACCACCTTAGACCAAAAAAATTGAGATCATGGGAGTGCACCACAGCTCCAGCAAAACTCTCATGACTTTACTCTGAAATGTGTCTACCCCAGTGAAATCACTTGAAAAGTAATTTGGTGTAAGGCAAGAATTAGTTGAGCAACACACTGCCAGGTTAGTCTGCCCACATTACACCAAAATACAAGGAGGAAGACTTCTGCTTTTCATCAGTGAGGAAAAGAGACACAAGTTCCAAGATATTTTAGTGAATGAACCATGTCTGATCAAATATTTTTACACTCTCATCGTAAGATGTCAGTAAAAAAAACATTTATGGCCTTGATGCCAGTAAGCTTACTGATCCATTAGTGGTGATTGTGGGCCCCATGCTGACTCATCAGACAGGATTCTCTGTGCTGACAGTAATGGTGGCTAGTAGACTGGTTTCCAGTAACTCGTCATTCATCAGCGCTTAGTCATTATTAGCCAAGGACAACACAAGGCTTGTTTGTGTGCCTCTGTTTCCATCTCAGATGACTTCGTGTTTATCTTTGCTTATTTTTTGCGGACATTTTTTCTGTGTTGTCAAGGTTTTTACTGGTCTCATCTGGTTTTAAAAAATTCTGCATCAGGTATTCTTGTGTGTCTTATCTTGTAAGGATGCTCCGCTCAGGCCTGTCACAGATTGCTGGAAGCCGTATCAGCTGATACGAATCACCAGTCACAGGTTTTATTTGAAGCCTTTTGTTTATTGTGTAGCATTATTCTTTTATTCACGTTTTTTTAACTTGTTGTAGGGTCGCTGTCTTTGCAATGTCTCTGTTAGCAGTTTGAGTGGGTGGTGATTGCTTTAGTGCTAGCTAGTTTTGAAAACTCGTCATATTCCTTGACGTGACGAACCTTCAAAGGTCTGATCAGGTTCTTGGTGTTGAAATTTTTGGTTGCATTCCTCCACCAGAGATTTACTTCAAATACACACAGTAAAATACAAACTTTTTCAGGCACCTGGTAGAACTGCAAGACCAGTCAAGCCATTTTAGTGGGGCGTAGAGAAATTGTGTTGCGTTTTGCATCATCTGATCAGCCTCAGACCACCAATCAAACTATTTAGAACGAATACTATCTGATAACAATCAATGGCCAATTGATTGGAGCACCCTTATTATTTTACACATTGTCTGGCTGCAGAAATTTGTTTCCACTGAGGATCCAAAGGTCTTCATTAAAAAAAAAAACAAAGTAACAACAACAGACAACTGTTAAAGTTGCATTGATTCAGATGTGGCAAACCCTATTTTCTTCTCTCGTGGAAAGTAACTAATGCCAACATCAATGACGGTCAAAGTGTTAAGTGGGGTCAGTGTGTGAGCACGTTAGTGTTCAGAAACAGTCGTCAGCCTGGATGCAGCCCAGATTCCACCTGTTTCATCTCCGTCTTTCTGTCTGTCCCTTCAGACTTGGCTGAATACTAATTGTAGTCAAATCTGCTCCCTTTTCAGCTCCATCCAGATCCAATGTTTGTGCGTGTGCGTGTGTTTGGCACACAGAGGGAAAAGGAGCACCATGTTGGTCCATCTGGCCTTGCTCAGGTTTTGCAGAAAATGCAGCTCATTAGCAAGTGTAAATTAGACAGTGATGCCTGGGTGTCTCTTTTTCTTATGCCAAAGGCTACTGAGGGTACGTCAGTGAGTGTTGACAGTGTTTCACAGTTACAAGAACTGTGTTTCTTTCAAAAAAATATGTTCCTGGTCTAATTTGACCTTTTGGGGCACTCATGTTTGTCATTTCCTTTATGCAAAACCAGCTGCTCAGTTATAGGCTAATAGGTTATTATAAACTCTGGTGTTGGATGAAAAGCAGATAGAAGCATAGAGAGCTGTCTTTGCATTTGTGTTGATCCTTTAGTTTAGACCCTCATTATGACTCCATTTTGTCTCTGTTGGTCTGTCTACCTGCAGAATGCTACCACCTGTGGTACCTGGTAATTTTCATTGATAAACTAGTATTTAGAACCAGACACAACTCTAATGAGAATCTAGGTCCTCCTAGTAGAGGTGTGAGTACGCTTTGACCATTTTTAGAGCAGTACCATGCTTCATCAGCCAGTGTCCAATACAAAAACCTTTTTGTTCATTAAATGATATGACATGAACATCAGAAAACACAACATAAACACAAATTTAAATTTAAAAAACCTTGAATTTTGGAATTTTGACTGCAACGATTAAACAGTTATCAAAGGAGTTGCTGATTAACTTTGTAATTGAGTACTGACTTTGATTGTCAAGTGACTGAATAATCACTTGATCAACTAATCATTTCAGCTCTTTAAAACATAGCATAGCTAGCTTGCCTGTATATTAAAGGGATAGTTTGAATTTTTTGAACCTTTCCATAGTCAGTGGGTTACCAACAGTAGATGGCGGTTGGCATCCTCCCAGTATAGGGAAGCAGACAGAAGCACCGCCATGCAAGCTAAGCCCTGTACTGCTGTTGACAGGGAGCAGCAGCAAAATGTATTTTAGCCACCTAAAAAAACAAAAACCCCTCATCTATCATCTCTTCAAAGCCAGACTCCATTGACAAAAATAGTAATTTACCTTGCTTGTGAGACTTTGGTGAATCCAATCAACACTTTAAAACACCAAAGTCACACAATAACATAAGCAAACTAACTGATCGAGGCAGCGGTAGACCAGCAGCTCCTGTGTTCAGCAAGGTAAAATGAATGTCTTTGTCACTTGAGTCTGGCTTTGAAGAGATAGGTTTCAGTCTCAGTTCAGTTACCCATTGGAGGGGCTGTCTGATGGTAAGGTAAACTGATCAAAATGTTCTAGATATAGAGTAAAGTTAAACTTATATATGTTTTTTTTTTTTTTTAGGTGGGCCTTTTTTGGTGGCTTAAATACATTTTGCTGCTGATGTTGTGGTAGTTGACACCAGCCACTCAGGATCAGCTACCAGTAGTGATAGATTTATTGGAATAGACTACTGTGTCTATAAATGTGGTTAAAAGTGTGGCATTGTTTCTGGGATTTTTGTTTTTCACCTCTGAAATGCATATGTGCACATCGTGTTGGTAGCACAGCAGTTCATTGCTTAGCATACGTGGTGGTACTCCTGCCTGTTTCTCCAAACTGAGAGTGTGCTCACAGCCATCCCCTCTAAGTAACACACTGACTATGGGTAAGTACTTTATACAACCCCACTTCAAAAAATTGGAACTGTCCCTCCTTTAATGCATCAATACTTTGGCAAGGAATTATTCTTCACAGTGAGTACATTTCATTCCTCTCAGTCGGAGACTCAGTTTGGACACATTTTGGAGTTTGGTAGTGTCTCTGCTCCTGTGGTGCTCCAGAAACTAATTTGACCAAGCTTGACACAGACCGTCCCTGAGCTCACAACCCCCACAACAAAGTCTGACATACAAAACATCTGAGAGAGAAACATTCTGTATTCACATCCATCTGCATGCTAATGCAGGAGGAGGCAGGGGAGGGAGTTCAGTCTGCGGTGTATGCAGAGGGAATGATTATATGGCCTGCTTAATGGTAAAATCTTGTGTGTTTGGACCCTATATGAGAGGTGACCACATAGTAATCTCTCTGCCTGCCTGGCCCAGCATAAGGTATTTTACTGTGAATACTTGGACACATATTGAAGGTGGCATTTATTTTCAGTGTGGTGTTACTACTATCAGTCAAGGAATGCGTTTGAATACCCTTTTAACCATTAAAAATAATTGTACAGTAACTGACCAGTTAAAGATACAGTGTGTCAGGATGAGTTCCCAACTACAACTGCATTCGCCACTGTTCTTCATTTAGGGAGCAAGAACCTACTGCTGGTCCTTAAAAAGGGACAGTTCGCCCCAAAATGCAATCTACAAATTTTACCTCTTACTTGTAGTGCTATTTATTCGACTAGATTGTTTAGATATGAGTTGCTGAGTGGTGCAGATATCATCCATAGAGATGTCTGCCTTCTCTCTAGTACAATGGAACTAGTTGGCACTCAGGTTTCAAAAGGTATCACCGTGCAGAATGAAGTGTGCATCTACTGCTAGCTCACCTAGGACCACCCAGCTAATTAACATTACAGCTCAGCCGAGGAGGACGCCATTAATGTTTACATCTTGTGCTACCACGAGCACAAGCTGCTCGTACATAAGTAGATGCACGCATCCTTCTGTGCAGTGACACAGTTGACTGGTATAGTTTAGTATAAAGAAAATGGTGTCCACTTACATGGGACATACAAGTGACAGGTGACTTCTCTGCAACCCTTTACAGAAGCTAAATACCCTGCAGGCCTTTTGCCAAACACTGTGTTGCCATGACAACAGGCGGTATCTCCCTGTTTCCCCCTGAACTGTTGGGACGCTATTATAGAGCTCTCTGCGCCAGTGGCTTGATATAACTTTATCTTTTAATAGGTTTGATAACACTCTGTTAAGTGTCTTGTTGCAAAATATAAAGCTCATTTAAATTTAGTGTGATTTTGTTTGTTTGTTTGTGTGTGTGTGTGTGTGTTTTCGCCTGTATATCCATGTTTTGATTATTGAAATAGTACATGAGAAGTTATGTGTCAGTCATAATGAGCATATCAGCTGAATGTTTAACAGGAGGTGTCTGTGTGTGTGTCGCCCTCTACAGGCCCTACATTGCCCAGACAGGGCCCCCAGGTTCAGAATGGCCCGACTCCAGAGGAGATGGACCTGCAGAGAAGGTAAGACCACACAAACACAAACATAACATACATAACAACATGTAAATATCTAACATTAGGAACAATGTGAAGTGTGTTTACTTTGTGAGGCACCATTGTTTCTTCCATTTTCTGTCTCTCCATTTTCTTCCATTTCTGTTCTTCTTGCTCACCACCAGTTTATCAGTGTCTCACACAGACTCACACACACATCCACTCAGACAAAACCTTGCATACTCCCAGTTGTTTTTCTTCCCCATACAAGGCCACTCTTTCCCTCAGGTAATAATGAGGCTGTGGAACGGCTAGGAAACACATCACACACATACTTGCATACATACACGCAGAGCGGTATTAATGGGGGCCAGCTGTTGGCCAAGGTTTAGAACCTGTTCACCAGAAAGCTTGTTGAAGGATTTCATTAGAATGAATTGCCCGCACGCACTCTCACATGCAAACACAGACAGGGGCACGTCATGAGCTATGTTTCTCCACAAACATGACCACACACAGAGATGTAAACATCTAAATTTAGTATCACATACATGAGCCAAACAATGATGACTGCTTCGGTAACCAGTTCAGAGAAAGGGCAGCTGCTGTACACCACATTGTAATGTCATAAATGGCATTGGGAGGGACGCTGTAACTGCGCCAAAACATCAGTGTCCACCATATACAAATGAATTAAAGGAGAAACATGATGAATGCAGATGCTCCTGTACATGTCAGGGAGGCTTACTGAAGGCTTTGGCCGGATTGAGATCGGGATATGTTTATCATCAAACATCTGTTTAACATTTGGGGAGTGATGAGATAAACCAGAAAACAAACTATGGACACTGACGTCATGTCCTTGTCCAAAAATGGTCCTGGTCAGACACCAAATCTGCATGAGACAGCCAGCCAGATGGTGATGTTGTTTCCATGTCCAATAATGGTCCATTTAGACCCTCTCTTATTTAAACCAGGAAATATTGATCATATTATTGCTTGGAAAAAGCAAATGCATCTATCTTTGTTTGTTTTTTTTCCTTTACGACATTCCAAGCAAACAATTGACTGACCTTGACTTTGAAAGTCAAATCAAAACGACCCATTTTTGTTCAAAAATAGTTCCAAAATGGAAGTTGTTCCAGAGTCCACAACGTTCAGGCCTTCGGCTGGTCGTCCTTCCCGAGCGTCTGAGCAACATCGAAGGATGATATTAACAAAACGGGTCTATTCAGCTGTTCTGCTTAATGTACACAATGTGCATTCAGTAGCTTCATACATCATAAAAATTAAAAATGATAAGTCAGTTAAGTTCAAATTGACATTTCATGTGATTGACACCCTTTTTTAAGAATAAAAAACGGCATTTATCTATATCTACATGTAGATTATCTCCCTGTGTCATCGTTATAAGCCTGGAGTTTTCATTAAAGCAGTCTTTGTTCACACATAGGAGAAGTTTTCCTTCTGGTCTTTCTGCCAGAAAACCAGGTGACGTAGTATAAAGAGCGACAGTCCATGATGAGACGGAGTCATGGTGGGTGACTGTGTTTATGCGTTACGGGCTTTTACTAAGGAGACCCAGGTTTGTGTCCCATGTGAGTCAATGCTGGCTCACTGTTTTTACACTTACTTGATGTGTGAACATCATATTTTTACGTTGCTTGGATGCTCAGGAAAGATGTCCAGCTGATGGCCAGGTAACCTCACAGGCATTTGCACAACATTCATTGTGGTACTATTTTTGTACCATGAGAGGACGTCTTGATGGATGTTTAAACAGCGGTCTTGTGACATCACAGCGTTTGCATGGGAATGGACCAATATAACCCTACGCCATTCTGAGGTAGAGTTAGAAGGTCCGACCATTTCTGTAACCGATGTTCACGCCAGCTTCTTGCCGTAATTGGCCAGCTGAGCGAAAAAGGATCAAGGCTCTTTTGCTCATGGTATAGCTATTTCTGTTGATTTTCATATGAACAAACAAGTGCAACACTATGAACGGTTACAGAAATCGTCGGACAGAGACCTCCTCACTCTACCTCAGAATGGCGTACGCTATATTGGTCCAGTCTGGGAGAGGCTTTTATAAAATGTGCTCCCCGTATTTAAACATCAATTTATTTTTTAAATTTGTAAATTAGCTTTGACTGTGTCTGATGCCCCTCCAACATTCACTCATTCACTACTCAACAGGTTACTCTGTAGTGTTCACCTCATATGTGATGGATGATAGAGATGAAATAGTATACATGCTCATGATGTGCGAGGATTCAATGGACAACATAAGTTGGTCATGTGAGGGTTAAAATACGATGCACAAGTAATGGAATACTATATTCATGAAATTCGGGTTTCAATAACATTTAATAACATAGCGAGGGGCTTTGCCTGAGGTGAGGCGGCCATATTGGTTTGGTCACTAACACTACCTGTGTTGATCGATGCTAAAATATAGATTGTTCTAAAACACATGTTCATTCTATCGTCCTTCAGACACGCAGTCTCTCTTTGCTGTTTCTCTCTATCTTTCTATGTCTCAAACACACCCACACACACACACACACACACACACACACACACANTCTTGCAAGGTCACTATTTGCAGGACTACAACTAGGTTCCTTTTGAGATGATTTCCCATCCTGTTCCTGGTTGGAGATCTTACACCAAACTCCCTTTAAGAAGAGTGACATAGTAACTACTCTTCACGTGTCCACCAAAACACTTACACACACACTAGAAATGCAAGATAAAAGGCGTCAATCTGGCATTCGGGTTAGATTTTGAGGATAGGATTATAGTCTCAGAAAATATTGCAGTTATTATCATTCAGAACGACCCTTAAAGGAATGAAAACAGAATGGTTATTTTAGTCGTACAATGTTTTATTACTATAATTGAAAATTAAAACCATTTCGTTATTGGAAGCATGTGTAAAAAGCTTCTTCGATGAGAATAATTAGAATAAAGGGAAGATTTTCATCCAGTTGCATTTTTCTTCAATATCCTAGATAAGCAAATGTACATGGTATGATAACCTTCAATTTTTATATCATGGTAAACCTCAAAACATATATCGCTGCAACCCAAAACTTCCAATTTTGGATTTTGTTGCCTGAACTGGCAATCAGCCTCCATTGGTTAGCTGTGTTATTTTAGTCAGAGGAGACTGTGGGAATGAGAGGTTAACTGTTCCAAAAATTAAGATTTCTCACTAAAATAAGTGCTGGTTGGTGGATCAGAAAGGAAGGAAGGGCAAAAAGGTACTCTTGTTTGTTTTACTTCTCCACCAGTTTCCCTCCTTTTCCACAGTACGAGAGAGCTGAGACTTCTTCATGTTCTTGTGCCTTCCTGGAGTCCCCTCCATGTCCACTGTCTACCTGGTTTGCACTGGAGAGAGCGCGGCTGTTGTTTGTTGACAGTGTTCATGTCATTAAACTTCATTAGCTATGACTAAGTCTTTTGAGCCAAGATTAAAAACCTAGAATATTAATAAACATCTTTTGATATTATCAGAACATCAAGACAAGAAAAAGACTTCAGACAGCTCAGAATGAGTTTTATGACCACCTTAGACCAAAAAAATTGAGATCATGGGAGTGCACCACAGCTCCAGCAAAACTCTCATGACTTTACTCTGAAATGTGTCTACCCCAGTGAAATCACTTGAAAAGTAATTTGGTGTAAGGCAAGAATTAGTTGAGCAACACACTGCCAGGTTAGTCTGCCCACATTACACCAAAATACAAGGAGGAAGACTTCTGCTTTTCATCAGTGAGGAAAAGAGACACAAGTTCCAAGATATTTTAGTGAATGAACCATGTCTGATCAAATATTTTTACACTCTCATCGTAAGATGTCAGTAAAAAAAACATTTATGGCCTTGATGCCAGTAAGCTTACTGATCCATTAGTGGTGATTGTGGGCCCCATGCTGACTCATCAGACAGGATTCTCTGTGCTGACAGTAATGGTGGCTAGTAGACTGGTTTCCAGTAACTCGTCATTCATCAGCGCTTAGTCATTATTAGCCAAGGACAACACAAGGCTTGTTTGTGTGCCTCTGTTTCCATCTCAGATGACTTCGTGTTTATCTTTGCTTATTTTTTGCGGACATTTTTTCTGTGTTGTCAAGGTTTTTACTGGTCTCATCTGGTTTTAAAAAATTCTGCATCAGGTATTCTTGTGTGTCTTATCTTGTAAGGATGCTCCGCTCAGGCCTGTCACAGATTGCTGGAAGCCGTATCAGCTGATACGAATCACCAGTCACAGGTTTTATTTGAAGCCTTTTGTTTATTGTGTAGCATTATTCTTTTATTCACGTTTTTTTAACTTGTTGTAGGGTCGCTGTCTTTGCAATGTCTCTGTTAGCAGTTTGAGTGGGTGGTGATTGCTTTAGTGCTAGCTAGTTTTGAAAACTCGTCATATTCCTTGACGTGACGAACCTTCAAAGGTCTGATCAGGTTCTTGGTGTTGAAATTTTTGGTTGCATTCCTCCACCAGAGATTTACTTCAAATACACACAGTAAAATACAAACTTTTTCAGGCACCTGGTAGAACTGCAAGACCAGTCAAGCCATTTTAGTGGGGCGTAGAGAAATTGTGTTGCGTTTTGCATCATCTGATCAGCCTCAGACCACCAATCAAACTATTTAGAACGAATACTATCTGATAACAATCAATGGCCAATTGATTGGAGCACCCTTATTATTTTACACATTGTCTGGCTGCAGAAATTTGTTTCCACTGAGGATCCAAAGGTCTTCATTAAAAAAAAAAACAAAGTAACAACAACAGACAACTGTTAAAGTTGCATTGATTCAGATGTGGCAAACCCTATTTTCTTCTCTCGTGGAAAGTAACTAATGCCAACATCAATGACGGTCAAAGTGTTAAGTGGGGTCAGTGTGTGAGCACGTTAGTGTTCAGAAACAGTCGTCAGCCTGGATGCAGCCCAGATTCCACCTGTTTCATCTCCGTCTTTCTGTCTGTCCCTTCAGACTTGGCTGAATACTAATTGTAGTC